TTTATTTTGAGAGAGAGAGAGAGAGACACAGCTTATTTATTTTGAGAGAGGGAGGGAGAGACACAGCACGAATTGGGGAGGGGCAGAGAGAGAAGGAGAGAGAGAGAATCCCAAGCAGGCTCCACACTGTCAGCACAGAGCCTGAATCGGGGCTCGAACTCATGAACCGAGAGATCATGGCCGAGCCTGAAATCAAGAGGGGACGCTTAATCGAATGAGCCACTCAGGCGCCCCTCTTTGTGTTATTTTCTAAATGAAACACCACTTGATTATACTCAGGGAGTTTGTAGACGAATAAAGCAAGGTCCATAAAGCTGGACCCACTGGCCTTCCGGCCCTAAGATGGGGCAGATAACGTGCTGGAGAGGCTTGCCTGTCCTTGGGACCACACAGGAGCATTGTTTCCTTTCCGGTGGGATTTCCATAAAGAAGTCTCAAGGCCCCCACAGAAGCTGCCCCATGTCACTTTCGTTTTCTGGAACCCCTTCTCAAGTGATTTTCTAAGCCCCACAGAAGAATGACATCCACTTTTGGGTATAATATCTTGCTCAATATTAAGAAACCCTCGTGTGAAACTGAAGACCTACACTGTTCTTTCAAAGGGGATTGGGGGTGTAAGGATCATATTGCCAGAACGTTGAGAAACATACCCAGCCAAGTGAGTCTGATTCTCGGTCCATTATTCGTTCCTTTTGTGGCTCCTTCAAAAAAACGGAACAAGTGCCAACGAAATCGGCAGACCCGGGGGCATTCTGAGTCCTGGGGCCATTGATGCGGCTGGGTCAGTGACCACACCGGCTCCTAGGTGTCCCCTTTTTTGCCACACTGTGTAAGCTGGACTCGTTATCATTTTTGGCCTCAAAGCTCAGGACTAGGATGAGACTGCCCCCGCAGACAGATTACCATATTATCACGGTCCCAGTAGCTATCTGAGTCTGGAATTAAGAACCATCCACAGGGAAATCAGCCTGAATGCCACAAGTCTGAATGTTAAATACAAGCACCACAGGGGCTTCCCTGGGAGGGAGGTCTGCTGGGCTCGCGGTCTGCCCTCTCCACTCCCAACTTTGCTTGGCTTTTGTCTTCTATTTCGTGTTCCTGGTAAATCCAATTCTGTCTCTATTACCATAGGCCACCTCAGCACTTCCTTGGGAATTAGGTTGTCTGGACAGGCAGGGAAGCAAATACATACCTCTGGTGTCAAGGGATCAGGGTTAAGCTCATTTTCACTTTTGTGATATTTCAAAAGATCACAAATTGTTTTCTTAGGGCCTAGTCAGAGAGACAGGAAAGAGCTGGAGGGTGAGACACCAAACTGCGGCCAGTGGTGATGTTTGAGCAATGAGCCTGGAGCTGCTTTTACATGTTTCTCATTGTCTTTATTTTTCTTAATTGCCTTAATGGGCATGTGGTGCGCTGCAAAGCGAAGTGAAATTGTTTTCCTTAGTTGCTGTAATTTACAGAGAGACAGTTTGATCATATAACCCAGGGACTTTGCAATTCCATTGATCTTGGGGTAGAGGGAGAGGATTCTTTTTAAGTGAACGATGTGTTCACTAACGAATTCAAAGCCTATAAAGGGAAAAACCCATGTTTCTTCACCGCCCTGTTTCACAATAGCTATTAGATGACCACACCATCATCAAAGCGGTGGAAAATGTCCGTGGGAGGGGGACCGGGGCTTCAAGAGTTGCACTTGGCCAAGGCAATTGATTCCGACACCCCATCCACAGGCTGAAGGTGATGCCGTGAACCTGGGAAAGTCCAGGCCTGGTTCTGGCTGCCATGGGTCTGTTCTGATCCCAGAAGATGTGGAGGGGGTCCTGGCTCTGGGTTGCCTGGCGTCGACTGTGAGTTCCCAGCAGAGGCCTGGCGTCTCTGTCTGAGTATGACTTGACCAGCCACACACAGAGCCCGACTCGGACAGTAGGGTCTGGGCGTCCCGGGGAGCGGAGGACGCCGGCACCTCCTGACAGAGAAAAGGCCAAAGGCCACAGGCAGGTGTGCCTCCCCAGCAGTGGGGAGTGGGGGCTGGCTGGCTGGGGGCCTGGAGAAAGCCCCGCGTCCACCGAGCTGGGTCTGCACTCCTAGACGGTGCCGGGGTCCCAGGGCGCAGGGCCAGCTCCCGAGCATTTCCTGCCAGTCGCTCCGCCCATCCCGCCTCGCGCTCCGCCCACGCCGCCTCGCCCTCCTCCCCGCTTCACGCCCTG